ACAATCAATTCCCACGTTTGTAATGAATGGCTAAACTTTCCTAATGCCAGCCACGTCATATACGAATTTATTACTTCTTCCAAAAAGAAAAAAAAAAAATCCCTCACTTATTCCACGAGACTTGGAAGGAGTAAAATGCATGAAAAACTTGAGGATTAAGTCCTCCATTCTTCCTCCACTTTGTTCAATATTAGCAATTAGATCCCTTAATTTCAATTAATCAAATGTTACCTCTCAACTCCCAGAAGCAACCAAAATGGACAGTGATAATATAGAAAAACACATATAAGTAAAATATTACACTGAAATGATTATATTTAAACCTTGCAAAATTAATTATATTAAAATAAATATATTGAATTTAAAACTTGGTCTTAAGTATATCTAGAAATAAAAATACAACTCTTGACTTTCTCGTTTCTCCTATCTTAAACTTTGGCCTTCAATGTATATTAAAAATTGAAAATTAATTAAATGATATTATTATTGCATGAGAAATTGTTGAACATGGTTTTGAAAAGGAAAGACAGGCATAAAGAGTTTTATAGGAGCCAAGCATAACGGAGAGGGCCATAAGAGAGGGAAGAGAGCAAGGGGCATCATTGGGCATTGCACACCAATTGAGCAAGTTTTCTAATTAGTCTTTTGTTACTTCCTTATTCTTAGATTGAATTTTTTTTTATCGATAAAACAAGAATAAGGGAGAGATATAAAGACAAAAATTGTCTATCACGAACTTGAAATTCAAGCAGTGGTGGAGTCATGTTAAGTCGAGGGGGAGCACATGACCCCCTCTCAACATTTTGCAAGTAGGGGTAACAATGATGGCATCACTTATCTAAGTGTTTTAGTATGAATTTAGGATACAAGATGACGGAGATGGTAATCTTACTTTTATTTGTGTTTTTATTTTTTCGTCGTTGATCAGTGATTAAGGCATGGGGTTTAAGAGTATGGTTATCAAAAGCGTATCTTAAAGTAAAAAAAGTATACATTTTTTAATTTTTACTTGTACTAAACGCTTTTGATTATATTTAAAATCTTTTTTTGAGTAAAATTTTGTAAAAATTCGTCTTAAAAATAAAAGTTATAAACTCTTGTAATTATAAGTTCATAATTTGTCATTTTACCGATCGATTTCATCTAATAAATTATTTTAATCTCTATTTTGTGTAAAGTGATTTGATTGTTTTAATTTAATTTTTTATTATGTCAATTTTATATTGAATATTTATAATTTAGTTATTTTAGTTTTAAATTATTATTATTTATTATTTATATTACATCAGTTATGTGTACATTATACAAAATTATATATATATTTTATATGTTATTTTATTTTATGCTTTGTTTTTATATTTTTATTTTTTAAGAATTCAAATACTTTTTAAGTAAAATTACACTTTTAATAACTTTATTTTAGAGTTTACATGGATGGAAACACCAAAAATTTAAAAGTTCCAAATCAACGCCATGCAAAATGCTTTGTCAGCGCGCAGGAGTTAAAGGCGGTAGAGTTCCTTGATTTGGTTAACTTTATGAGTTAGAAAGACCTAATTTGATTAAATTTTAACTTGGGGGCAAAATTACACAAATTAAACTAGTTGAGGGAGAGTTGAACGACAATCCAAAATTTGAAGAAATCAATCACCAATCACCATCGATTATATTACAGTCGTACGTGCATCACTGTCCATGAACATTCCCTAGTTGCGTGTCAATTTCGATTCAAGGGGGTGTCCCTAAAAGGATTTGGCATAAATATTTTATTTTTTTACAGAAACAACTTTAAAAAAGTTTTAAAATTTAGAATTTTTTTGAAAGTAAAGTTTTAATTTGAAATTTTAGAAAATATTAATTTAAAAGTTATTTAAATTAATGTCATTTTCTACTGGTAGAAATATTTTAAAAATTTTAAAAATTGAAAATTTTGAGAACATCATACATGATTGTAGACTTAGAACCTGCTTGGAAGGGTTACTTTCAGCAATTTTTTATTTTTCAATAAAAAAAATACTTTTACGATGTTTATGTTAGAGGTGAGCGCGGCGGGTTTAGGCGGGTTGATATTAAAAAATTAACCCGACCTAGTTTGGGCAGGTGGCAAAAAAATTAAATCGAATTTGCTTTATTTTCATTCTAAACCATGCAATTCAGCTTGATTAAATACGGGCGGGTTGGCGAGTTAGAACATAAGAAATGAAATTTAATAAAAATATAATTTAGAAAAAGTCAATCTAATAAAAATTAATATAATTTTGTAGTACTTAATTGCTAAGAATCAAATAATACAAAAACAGAATTTTTTCATTATAAAGTAAAACAAAATCAAAAGAAATAGAAAGTAAATTTCACGTGGTTACTTCTAATTAATACCTTGAATTAAATAAAAAATAAATTATTATTGTTAAGTTCAATAAAAAAAAGTATTAATTATGCCCAACAAAATTATTGTATAAAGTAAAAAAAAATAAAAAAACCTAATTATATATTCTTTAAATATACTTGTGTGATCACTTTTGATATAAAAAAATGTTTAAAGTGTTCAAAATAAATATATTATTATTACAACATATTTTCAATAATGAATAAATATATTATTTATTATACCTAATTTTAATTTATTATATTCATATTTTAAGTGGAATGAGAAAATTTTTCTTATTTGAAAATTTTTAAATTATAATTTTATTTCTTTTAATACTAATTATTTTCTCTCAATAAAAAATTTTATTTTCTAACTTTGAGCACTTTAATAAGTGAATTAATAGGTAAGAAAAATTAGGATTAATAGAGAATAAATGATAGTAATAAATAAATAAAATAAATAAGTAAATAAATATATATATATATATATATTAGCGTGCGGGTCGGTGTCGCGAGTTTTTAAAATTTTTAACCATCACCCGACTGCATAATGGACGGATTATAAAATTATAAACCATTCGGAGAAAATATTATATTAAACCGAAGGGTTGGCGGCGGGTCGCGGCGGCTCGGTGTAAGTTGGACTGGTTGAGCGGGTTTATGCTCACTTCTAATTTACGTGGTCAGTTTTTAGGGTATTTTTATTTAAATTTTATTTAAAAAGTCAAAAATAGAAATATCTAATATTATTAGACAAATATACCACATATTTGAAATGAATTCTTATTTTACACTTTACTAATTAAGAACACTAGAACCTTAAGCATATTACTAACTTTTTTTTTTATATTATTGTACCATTTATTTATTTTGACTTAATCAAATATTATATTAGAGTTTAAAATGAAGTAAATCATATTTTTAAATTAAAAATAAAGTTATATTAAAAATGAGAATGTAAAAAAATTAGGTTATAAAAATTATTAATAATTTATATAAAGATAATTGTATAAATTATTAATATAAATTGTCAAAAATTATTACTAAATTATATAAATTATTAATATATTTTTATTTTATTTTTTTACCATAATAAAATCAAATTTGTATTTACAAATTAAAGAAATTTATACCGAGGAATTTAATTTTTTATAGTTCATATTATCTGTTTTACAATTTAAAATTAATTTTATTTAATATATTGTGGCTATTTTTACTTAAATGTAAATGTATGGTCACGTAGATTTAAATCTAATTATCTTTTATAAATATAAGGGTATATTATCATTTATATCACATTTAATAAATATAAATAACATAATTATTTTTAAAAAAATATTTATTTAGTAGTTTATGCTAATTTTTTAAATAAAATTTACAAATATGTTGGACTTTTATATTTTAAATAACTTTTTAAATATCAATATTTTCGGTATTTATTTAAAAATAACCACTCCCGCAAACAGATGTTCACTTGCGCAAGGGAAGGGTGAGAATTTGACAATTAATCTTTTATCATTCAACACTTTAAAATTTATTTTATTAATATTAATAATTTTAATTATTTATAAATAAATAATACTATAAAAAAACACAAAAAAGAAAAAATATTTGTTTGAACGGAGATCTGAAGCAGCACCTTGGCTGGGCCTTGTTTTGTCCAGTTGCACAGAAACAAACCCCACACCCACAAACACGATAGACTAGAGAGGGAAAGTAGTGAGAGAGGAAATGTACACTGTCCCCGAAGCTGCAGGTTCCACTGCCACAAAAAGTTATAAAAGTTGCAAGTATTTTTCTTTTCTCTTTTCCATTAGATATTGGTATCTCAAACACAACGTAATTATTTTGCTCGTAAATCTCCACCTAACCAAAAACCCATTTCCCTGCTACACCTACACATCACGGTCGTCTTGGTCAAATTGAGGGCTGAGCCCCTGGGCCTCTCCTGATCCTGGCAAATGGAGTAAGTCTCAGGTCACGGGCAGGGGTACAGAATCAAATCCAATCTTCAATAATCGGCTCTCTCTCTCTCCTATGACGTGTAATATGGCCGAAATTTCAGAAAAAAAATGGTACCGGCGGATGTATAATGTATGCTTACTTAGAAGATAATGATTGCATAATATATTGACACAACCCATCATTATCTTCCATAAAAATTTTAAAAAGTAAAAATCTCGTCCCAGCTCCTAATAATTTCTCCTCTAAACCCTCCTTCTTCGCTCACTCACTCTCTCTCTCTCTCTCCATCTCTCTCTTTTAAAACCCTACCTCTGCCGTTTCTCTCTCTACTTTCTCCTCCTAAAACTGAAAGGTTTTGAGAGAGAGAAAGAGAGGGAGAGGGGAAACAAGACGGTGGTGGCCACTATGGATTCGAGTGAGGCAACAAAGATGGTTTTCTCCAGGATCCAAAGCTTAGATCCGGAGAACGCCACAAAAGTCATGGGTTACTTGTTCATACAGGACGCAGGGGAGAAGGAGATGATTCGCTTGGCCTTGGGACCAGAGACTATGCTTCTGTCGCTCATAAACCAAGCAAAGACTCATTTGCGACTTCCTTCGAACACCTCCTCCGCACCCTCCACTCCCTCCTCCCCCTCCCCCTTCAACCCCATGCCTAACCCCAACAGACCCAACCCATTGCCCCAATCTTCGCCCCGAATCATCATCCCAACAATGGCTTTCACATGAACCCCTCTTCGCCGTCTTCTCCCTGGTCTGTTTCTGGTTTTTCTGATAACCGAAGCCCTAGTAGTCACATGAGTCCGAGACCCACTTCACCTCTTTCTTACGCTGCCGTCGTCAATGGAAGCACTAACGGCGCTTCTTCTGGGTCGTTTTCGGCACCTACTACTTCTTCATTTTCACTACCTCCCCTGTACAGCAACACTACTTGTAGCGATCTCAGCGACGAGTATGTTCAAGATCAGTTCCCTTTCCTCGACGACTCTTCACCTAACAATGTGGATTTTTCGGATCCGATAATGAGCCCCAGTGGCCGGAGCGATTCGGTTCTCTTCCCTTATTCTGGCAATTGGGTTGATCCTGGCACTTGTAGTGACAATAACCACCATAACTTCCATAGACGGAGTTGTTCAGTGAGTGATTTGTATCTTGGTAGTGGGTCTGATGATGGCGGTTCCGGGCTGGTTGGAGGCCCTGTTTGTACTTTGCTCGAGGATTTTGCAAGAACGGCAACAGCTGCAAGTTCTTGCATGGTGATTCTTCAGATGCATCTGCCATTGTTGGCTCGCCGAGTAAGCTTGATGGTCTTGACGATTTACTGCGGATGAAGGCCATTCAACACCAGAAGATGCTGCCGCTTCTCAGCTTATGGGTGGAGCTGGAGCCCTTTCCCTTACAACAAGTGCATAAACTTCATGAATGACTCCCCAAGGTATAGTAACCCTCTTGACTGACTCAGCCTTCTGATTGAAGCCTTGTCTTTTTGATTCCGGGCATTATCTTCGTTTCATTTTCATCATTTGGTTTGTTAATGCTTTTGAACCTTTTAATGTATTTATTGCACAGCACATTAGCGTGTGCGTGAATTTTTCAAAGTAAAGTGTGCTGATAAAGTGTACTTTTTGTGCTATTTGTTAGTCAAGAGATGGTTTTGATGTTAGATTGTTGATTTGTGGGTGTTTTCTTGATGGGTATATGCTGCATTGTAGATCTGCTGCCGCAGCGTTGATGATGGGTGATGAATATCACAAATTTGGTCGTGGTCGACCTGAAAGGTTCGATTTTTCAGCCTTGGGGTTGGGAGCAAGTGCAAATTCTAGTTCTAAACAGATTTACTTGACATTCCCAGCTGATAGTACTTTCAAGGAAGAAGATGTATCTAATTACTTCAGGTATAAGTATTCAAGATTGTTCGAATCTTATTCAAATTTCCAAATTCAAATAGAGTATTATGCTTATTATGGCTTCTTTTATTGGTGTATAGCAAGTTTGGACCAGTGCAAGATGTGCGGATCCCATACCAGCAAAAGCGAATGTTTGGGTTTGTTACCTTCGTTTACCCGAGACTGTGAAGATCATTTTGGCCAAAGGGAATCCTCATTTTGTATGTGACTCTCGAGTGCTTGTTAAGCCTTACAAGGAGAAGGAAAAATCCCAGACAAGTAGAGACAGTTTACCCATTTCAATTTCAGTCCCAAATTCTAGCTGTTTGCTCTGAAGTGTTCAATTTGTGCCATTAATTGATTGACTTTGCAGAAAGCAGCAGCAGCATCAGTTGGAGAGAGGAGAGTTTTCAGCGTGTTTGAGTCCTTCTGGTCTTGAATCAGAGAGCCTTTTGAACTTCCCAATGGTATTAAACAAACAAGATGATTTAATTTTTCTTAACCTCATTACATTTTTCTCTGTTCAAGTTCTTCCTCTACTGTGCAGGAGCAAGAATGTTTCTCAATCATCAAGAGATGATGTTAAGAAGGAAGTTAGAGCAGGAGGCCGAATTGCAGCAAGCCATTGAAATCCAGGGAAGAAGGCTAATGAATTTGCAGCTTATGGACTTGAAGAATCATCATCATCATGGTCATCAATTCCAGCAGCATAACCTAGTACCTGGCATTCCCATTGCCTCTCCGGCTCAGCCTCACCTCCGCACCAATCAGAACCTGTTGCTTCAATCTGATGCCATTAATCAGGAAGTCTTAGAAGGTTAGCCTGTTTGGATTTTTTTCTCAGAAACTGTTTTTGGTTTTTCGAAAGAAACCACCTGTTTGGTAGGTTAATTTTGAAAACTGTTTCTCCAAAAATTTCAGAAAAAGCTCATCTCATTCTCATCTGTATATAATAACAATAAGGTTTTTAGAAATCTTGTTGACTATTTTAGCTGAACAATGAAATCCATATGATAACAATAGGGTTTTCCAGATCAGTGATTCTGTTTTCTATAATGCAAAAAGTGAAAACTGGAAACAAAAACAAAAATGAAAACAGATCCTCCCTAATCAGTAACAGTCTGTTCTGCCTAGTTTAAGTTGATATTTGTCTTCTTTAGGTTGTTGATCTTTACTCAATTTTTATTTATTTTTGGCAGAGAATAACAATAGCTCGGCTGCAGCCACTTCTCCAACTGCCGCGGCTGAGGGGCAGCTGGAGTTAAATGAAACTAGCAATAACAACAATGGTCATAATAGCAGCGAGAACAAAGAACAATGCTCCCACCCTGAAAATGATAACATCCATGAAAGGTATAGAGCTTTACTTTTAGATGAAATAAAGGTTACCCACTAAAAAGATGCTTCATTCATGGCATTGGATTTTATATGTTTTCAGGTGAATATTTATTTGGTTTATATACAGTTTTGGAGGTTGTTAACTTTGGATTCTTTTTGCTTTTAGGTTTTGTATTTACTTTAGCCTCTCTTTTCATTTTCTAATCTTGTCTTTTGCCTTCGAGCAGTTTAGAGCACATCCTCCCAGATAACCTGTTCTCATCGCCTAAAAAATCAGACAGTGGCCACTGTTCTATCTTTTCTACTGCTTCGGCAGAAGCAGATGATGGCGCCTCAGTAACAGCGTCATCTTCCTCTAACAATACCCAACGGTGCCTGCATCCAGTACCCTCAATATGGCTTCTGTGAAATCATGTTACTTCCAAATGCCAAGGTATTGAGCTCCTTCTCTCTCCGTCTCTGTCTCTCTCTCTAGAATAAGAATGAGACATTAACTCAATATGTTAATGTGGAAATAGGTTTTCTTCTGGGCAAGAAGCCATTGAAATGTAGGTGATGTGGTTGACCATTGTCTTATCTTCAGGTAAGTGTTTTCATTTTTATAAATCACGGGCCCCATTTTTATATCTCGCAGAATTTTTAATTGAGTAGCTTGTTTGTGATACTTTTTTTTTCTTTTTCTTTTTCTTTTTGCCTAGTTCATTTATGCAGAAAGGTTGAATAGGGCACGTAGAACAAGGGAAGAAAATGTAGCTGTATAGCCAAACCAATACCCACACCGAAAGGAAAGGAAAGGAAAGGAAAGGAAGGGAAAAAGATCTGTAAGGGAGATCTCCTCAGGATCATTGTCGTCATCAATACTAGTATACTATTACTACTTACGAACAATACATAATGCAATACGTAAAAGGACAGATGAACTAATTTATGGGAGTGGGGTCTTTCTTTACTCTTGTACCCTCTCTGTAGCTGTGTGCTGGGCCACCACACACTGAACTGAACAAATAGCAAATAACAAAACAAAGCTACTACTAGCAGTAACTCTTGTTATTTTGTTAAATTTTACCTTTGTCTACCTTGTCCTAACTACCTTTATTTGATATGGAAAAAGTGGTGAAAGTAGAAAAAACAAAAAAGGAAAGGGGAGAAAGTGTTGATATCTCTGTGGAGGAGCTTCAAAGGAGCTGAAACTGTGAAGCATAATTATAACAACCACAGTGAAGAGAAACTCAGAAGGGAAAGGAATGGGAGCCTGAAGTGGAGATGAAAATTTTTTTGGGTTGGGATGTGAAAAAGAGCATCTTTCTGCCTGAGCAATAGAAAGAGAAAGCCAGTAGAGGGGTAAAAATTGGAGGGGGAGAGAGAAAAGGGTGGTCTTTTGATAGATTAAAGGCTCCTTTAGAGGGACTCTTTTGTCTCATTTTGGGAGATTTCTTTAGGTGACGATGAAGAGAGGGGAGGGGAGGAGGGCCACTTTGTCACATGGGTGCTGACACCATTTTGAGTGGTATCAGGGTACCACAACACTCCTTTCCCTTTCATCTTCTGCCCCCCAACCCCACCCCAACACTGTTCAGATTAAAATATACTATTTATATATATATATATGTAATTGGGGTTTTGGCCTTTTGTAATATGGGTACTGATGCCCTTGTGTCTTGGCATGGCTTTTAATTATCGTAGCCGTACATGTGCCCCTCCCTTTTTCCCTCTTGCCCTCAAAGTCTATTTAAAATTGCATCTTCACCAACTTTGCTGTGTCCAAGCACAAAGTTTCAAACGAGTGTATAGTTTTTAAACTCCAAACAAACGCACGTATATATAAAAATTAGAGAAGGGTTTCCCGCAGTTTCTCCTCTCTTTGAAATGAGTGGAGATCCTCAGTTTTGATCCTGCCGTTTCTCTGTCGCTTTTGATTCCTTTGTTCTGTCAGGCCTAGACTACTTATAAAACAACATAAGTTGGTGGTACCGTCCAATCAAAGTGAATTATTATATGATGTTCGCTGGATTATGGATTTAATTGAATCAATTAAATCCATTCAGATAATTATTTTTACCCTTTCTTTTTAGTTGCCATGCTCTCATTTAGTGGGGTCCTTTTATCACAGAATAAAATTAGAATTTCTCCTGTTTCTGTTTGCTTATTCATCTAGTTTTCTATTTATTTCTTATTTTTTCGGTTTTCTAACACGCTAAGAGGGAACCTTTGTTTCTCACAAATATTTATAGTGAGCACAAATAATCTCAGGGACTGTTTGGTTGGTCTGTTTTCTATTCTATTTTTATTAAGGTTGAAAACATGTTTGTTTTGTATGTATTCTATATTTATCAAAAATATTTTGGAAATGAGCTGAGAATTAAAAACTATTGTAAGTCGTTTTCAGTATTTGTCTTCCAGAAAAAATTGAAAATAGAAGAAAACATATTTAAAATTTGAAACTAGTTTTAGAGGAAAGAAAACACTAAAATCAGACCATATATGTTTCTCAAGTTGAAAATATGAAAATAAAAATCATTTTTAGAAAATGAAAATAGGAAAATAAAAAACAGAAAACATCTGTTGAAACCATATAGGCTTACAGTTTCTATAAACTGAATCAGGCGTAGGAGAGTTATTAATGTTACCCATGTAAGTCACTGATAAACTAAACACTATCCATTTATAAACTTGAATTATTTTGTCCATAAACTCTATTAGCAATTACGTTCAAGGATATTTGTGATTATTTATTTTATAGAAAAATTCTAAGTTAGAGGTTTAACAGTTTGTACAATTTTGGTGGCAAATAAGTTACCAAGCAAATTAATTTATCTCATTTAACTTATTTTATTATGTGAGTTTTTATGCCTAGAAGCCTAGGATTGCCAAACAAACCCTTTAAGGCAGATGCGAGAATACCTGGGACCAGGGTTACACTGTTAATTTATTGACTTAGAAAGACTGCGTCTTTCATGTCACCATGTAAACCTATAGAGTATTATTAGAAGTGTACGGTGGGATGAGTTTTAGTTGTTGCATATTCATTCATGAGTAAAGAATTTAAATTTTAATAATATGTTTTATTATATATATATATATATATATATAAGAAAATTTAAGAATTAATATAATTGATGAAATAGAGTTGAAAAATTTAAGTATAAAAAAGTAAAGTCGGACCAAATTTTTTTATTAAATTTTGGATGATTTATCATATTCAAATATTAATTAACAGATATAAATATTATAAGATTTCAAATTACATTTGATATATATAAATAAGTAATTAAATGCGAATTCAAATTTATCTAATTTAATCTAAACGTGTCCTATTTAATATAAAATTAAGTTTAAGCTTGCATTGGCTCATTTCCTGTCCCTTTTTCTTCAACTGTAACTTTTTTTAACTATGAAAATCAATACTTGCATCAATGCCCTTAGTGATAATTTTGCAATTATGCTCTTATTCAAAAGTAAAGGTAAAATTGCAGCCAACGACATTGTTCTGCAAGCTTGGTGATATAATGGTAACATTGTACGAACTAAGTGTACAACTGGTAAATAGCATTTTTAGACCTTGGCTTTTTTTTTCTTTATTTAATTTGAGCAATTAAAGGCTTTTTTTTTTAAAAAAGAAAAAGAGATTTGAATCCATGCAATTTTCCATTGGCTGAGGGACCCAAGAGTAATTACGTGCGCATGCATTAGAACCCCTAAATTTCTTCAAGATGGTCAAATACTTGTATAATTCCTTTTCCTTGAATTTTCATTTTTTCTAAGAAAAGCCCTTCATTTGTCTTAATCTTGCGCTATAGTCCTTTCAATTTCAAATGTTCTTAATTGTTCTCCGATTGCATATTCAATTTAACCCAGTAGCAGTGCTTCTGGTTTCGCACGTAAGAAACACAGGATCAAACCTTTCCATGCCATCTCAGCAGAATTCCGAGGGAAATTCTTGGCAATTGTGAAAGCAGCCAGCGTCTTGGGAAATACTTTGGCAGCGCTTTCGCAGGCTAGATCGGCAATTGTGCTCTTTCTCAAGCCTTCTTATTCAGTCATGACTCAATTTTGCCTTCAAATTTGAGCCGTTCATTCTTCTTGATCTAATGGCTGGGATTTTTCATAGACTTACCACCTCCTTGCACGTATTTTTAAGGCCTTTGTCATTTTCTGCCCAGACACTACCTACCTACTTTCTTCTAAACTTAGTTTGATGTTAAATTCTAATAAATTAGAGGTTGTAAGATTTTTTACATCAATATTAAAATTAATATTTGAAATTGGTATAATAATTGTTTAGATCACTTATTCACTGAATTAGAATTTACATCAAATACAAACTTCCTTACTAAGCCATCACTCCTCTCTACTTCTCTCTAAACTAATCTCAACCACATTCCAACCAGCCATATTTGTTGCAAATCTAAGGCTTCAAGGTGAATTCTCAATCAAGGAAAAGAATAAGGAAAGCAGCAAGGCGTTTAAGAGCCTTACACTGCCTCCTCATTAAACTTATAATTTAGCTTTCTAGTATAATTTCTTAGCATACCTGTAATTTTTTTTTTTCCTTCTTCTAACTGCTTTTGGAATACATTGGACACCTACAGATGAAGTTGTGATGCACCAAGTTCCATAGGATCTCTCTTAAGAACTGTTTTTATTTTATTTCTTCGTTTTGTTTTTCTTTTTTCTTTTTTATTTATTTATTTTTTGGTTTGCTCCTCGCTTTTCTTGGTATATGTACATCTCCTCATACTTGACCATACGTCACTCCTGACAGCAAGCATTTTGTAGCATGTCTGGGGCTTCTTTGCATTATGGTGTGTCTAAAATGTCTAAAAATATCGGTCTCTTTTCATCATTTTCATCTTTTCTATTGTTTTGAAAAATTCAAGTTTCTATTCTAGGCGTAGGTATGGCTTATCCACTAGGGGAGTGAAATGGTAGTCTCTTCCACATTTGATCTCTTAAGTGTTGCGAGTGCAGAGATCCAACAATCAAATAATCACGAGTTGAAATATTTACATATTCACAACTATGAATATAATATATCTTCTAAGCAAACATATTCATATACACAAATATATCGACACTTATACTCTGCTTAAATTAAAAATTGAAGGGTGAGACAAGGCAAACTCAAGATTTATATAGGCTTGGCCAAAATTGAAGTCCACGTCTCTTCTTTAAGATTCCCAAGAATTTGGAATCCACTATTGGTCTTGCTTTAACCTGGCAAATAAACTTTCACAAAACCTCTCTTATACCAAGCGAATCTGTAAGTTTTCCACAGGTGTTGGGGGACATTTACAACACCTTACTTTCATTATGCGAGTGTTCTATCTTTTCAAAGGTTTTAGGGGACATTTATTACCCAAGTTTGGGACGAGGGGCACTCGTCAAGTCAATTGCCTCAAACTTAATGGTGATGATAGGGACACCAGTGAATCTTGCTGCCTAAATCGATACAACAATGGTGAGGACACGTCAACTCAACCACTATAAAAGATTAAGTAGGGGAGATACTTTCAATTCAACTTTTTATATATAGTACAACTAAATGATCAAATATAGGGATGGTCCCTCAACTTTAAAAATGCTTGAATATTTGCATTGAATTTAAGGTGTAATATGTTAGAAAACTACCATGCCAATCAGTCAAATTGATGTTCAAATTATTCTTATGGGTCAATCTTAGTTATTTAATATCTTTAATACTTTGAGATTGTAACCATCTTCATC